GGCTCATGCCTTTTTTTTTTTTTTTTTAAAGAAGGTTAAAAACATATTTACTGGAATCCAAGACAAGATTTTTTCTGCCCCGTTTAACATGGAAAATGGAGCCCTCTCTTCCCCCAGGTCCTGGATTTGAGTACAAGCAGCAGGAGAAGCAGATGGCACCTGCAGCTCTTCCACTATCTGCCCCTCCACCTGCCTCAGATTTTCAGTTCCTGCAGCAGATTCCATGTCCATGAAGTCACCCTTTGCCACTGAATTGCAAAACACCACACTCAATTTCAAGATTTTAAAAATAAAGCTTCCTACCCTGTCAGCTCCAGTAAGAGTCCCAAAATCATAGGAAAAGGATATCTACCCAAGTTTTTAAGAGCTTCAAAGGTTTGGAGGGCGATATTTATTTGAATCAAGGCCCTGCACATACCCTTATTCTGCAGCCACAAAAACTGACATTTGGCAGGAGACACATCATTCAGTAGCTTTGCAACAGAATTCACCATATCCTGAAATCAATCACCTGGACCTGTTTTTGCAGCTGCTTTTTTGCTCTCCAACTTTCACAAGCGAACTACACTGAATTGCAACGCATACACTCTGCACAACTCCCTATATCACACATGCAACTTAAAGCTAGCGAGTGACCGAGAGAATGAAGAAGAGTAGAAACTAAAAGCACAGACTGGCAACCTGAGCTATCTGGGACATAATACAGCAAACACAGTCCCAAGAATGGGAGCCACTGATGCCAGTAGCTCCCTTTCATTAGATATATTACCTAGAAAAGGAGGAAGCATTCCAGGATGCTTGGATATCATGATAGGATCCAAGGGCCAGCAAAGAGAATCAGGCAGGCTTGGGAACATTAAGCAAAAAATGCAGTGGAAGAAAATAGTCATTTGTGAATTTTATATCAATGACCATTTTCAAATAAGCTACAGTAATGTGCTTCCACATGGAAATAGGTTTATGCATGAAAGCTATACTATGGTGAGGGCAGGGGAAGGTAAAGTAGATTAAAGCTGATGTAGAATTAAGTATGACTATTCAGAAGATTACACAGGGTCCTGATTATGTAGGTAAAAATAAAGAATTAGACATGGTATTTGAGTCTGCAAATGGCTACATCATTAGTTACACAATTATATTCTAGAGCTGCATATTTATCATCATTCCTATACTACCACAGCTGTACACTGTGTCTCAGAACACAAAGAGCATGCCAAAGAGAACATATACAATGTCATTTCTCTGTCTTCTTTTTCTGCTCTCAGAAAACAACAACAACAAGCAGCCTTGAATGTAAATTCAGTAGGTTCAACAGAGAAGTGCATATTTGGCAAAGGAAAGACTAATGGCAGCACAAGACATGTTCTTTTGAGACATTAAATGTTTATTGTAATAGTCTAAAGCATGCCTGAGAACAACACAGGAAGTTTAGAAATTATTTATGATTATTCTGGCTGGACCCTAGACAAGATTTCTATAATACTCTTAACTATCCCATTTTGAAAGAAAATAAATGGTCTAAAATTTGACCCAAATTTGGATCCTTAACTTGCATCTACTGCTCCTCAAAACAGCAACAGGGTTTATTTCTAGAGGATCAATTAGGTCATTGTATATTTAGATTTACTGGTCAACTGGGGTTGCCTTCTACCCCACAAAGAAGTATGAGTTTATGGCACAAGTTTCACTGAAATGTGGATTAGAACAGACCACCCCCTGAATAGACTTCAAGGTCTACTAGTCATACACACTATCCCCATCTGTTAAGAACTCCCCTTCCCTCTACCAGACACACACTGCTCTTGTTGATATATTACATGGAATAAATCCAGATGTGGTTCTGCAAGGTTAGGACAAGCTAACCTAGAGAGCTGTGAAACAGAAGAGACCAGGCATATTACTGACCAGTATACAAACACAACTGATTAGTTTTTCCAGTTTCAATGAAGTCAGCATTTCATGATCAACAGCACTGAAGATGGCTGATGGACTCATTTATATGAGCATAAACATCTTGGCCTCTGGTCCTTGCTACAAGACATTGAAAAAAATTCAAAGAAATCAGAAGCTCATCCTAATAACTTTCCCATAAAAAGAAGTTTTTCTTCCCCCAAAGTAAACATTAACAACTCTCAAGAGCTTTGGATTCTAGGCCTGTCCCCCATAACTTTCACCTACCACAACAGGCACAGAATGATTTCACAGGTAGCTGAATGAACTTTATCCTGCACACTCAAAACACTCAGGTTCCCAAGCTATAAAAACAAGCCAACTACCAAAGCAAACATGTTTTACCTTTCTTGCTGACATTGCGTATGTGGAACTGGAGAGGCTGCCCTGTTTCCTACAGATCTTATTTCACAGTGAAAAAAATTCAGCACTGAAACAAGGCGGTCTGGAGTAGACAGATGGTTCACTACTTAAAACAGTTTCACTATCAACAACATGATAATGGCATTCCTCCTAAAACTGCCAATCTGCACCCAATACTTGAGTGCCTTACAAGCAGCAAGGCTGGGACTGCGAAAGAACTATAACATACAAGTTAACAGGAGACTTTTCTAAATAAGTCAATTTTAAAGTGACCTCTCTCATGCTCCAAACCCTGATCCACGCCCAAACAAAGCAAAAGGAGGTAAATCATTCAGGAAGATATGTGTTGCCACAAGAGGTAATGACAGCAAGTTCAATAATTTAGTAAGGGATTGAATGCTTCACTCATTACTTCTCACATTCACACAAAAAAAAGTGAAGGCGACCCATTCAGGAGCAGGTGGGTAACAGTGAGAGCTAGTCAGGTCCAAAGGCAAGCAGCCTTTCCTAGGGCTAACAAGCACCTCTCTCTTTCAAGCCCCTTCTCTGCCTGTGAATCTTTTCCCAGGGGTGCAGGCTCCTCGGGGGCAGCTCCCCCAGGGAACACAGCACTAGAGCAGTTCCAGCCCCAAGCTCGCCCTCACCTTTGCCTGTGGATGCCAGAATGTCGAGGAGAATCCACTCGCCCTGAAAGACAAGAGGCGGGTGTGCAGGGAGCTTCCCCAGGCTCGGGCGCAGCGGAGGATAGTGCTGCGCGGGGGCAGGGACCACAGCCACCCCTACCCCTACCCCTACCCCAACCCC